GTGCAGTGGTGCAATCTTGGTTCACTGCAACCTTCACCTCCCGGTTTCAAACGTTCCTCCTACCTCAGCCTCCCAAGTTGCTGGGACTACAGGTATGTGCCACCACGCCCAGCTAATTTTTGTATTTTTCGTAGAGACAGGGTTTCACCATGTTGGCTAAGATGGTCTCCATTTCCTGACCTTGTGATCCACCCACCTCGGCCTCCCAAAATGCTGGGATTACAGGCATGAGCCACTGCGCCCATCTGCAGAATGTTTTTTAAGGTCATCTCCTGTCTGTGCAACTTCAAGCAAAAAGACCAACAAAACAATGGACTTCATTAAGGACAGGACTGCAAAAGGGACAGAAAACACTATCCTTTCCTGAACAAAAACATGGCCTATATTAAAGTACTGAACACAATTCTAAACTCCGTAGTTCATAAGCAGTAGGGTACAGTGATAAAAAAAGACTTGGGCTCAAATTCAAGTTTCTGCCGCTTACTGTGTCTCATTGCCTTCATTTGTAGGATACCTACACATCTGAGGTGCTTTGAGTTAAATGAAAACATGTAATAATATTTTTTAGCATAATACTTGACATGTAAAGTAGTGTTCCAAAAAAATGGTAGCTATCATTACTATCAAGGAAGAAGCAATCTTCTAAGGAAAAGCCATTAAAATATTGAGAGATTCTCAAAGTTTGATATGCACTAAAATCACCTGACAGATTTATTAAAAATACAGATTCTCTGAACGCATTTCTCCTAGAAATTAATTCCACAGGTCTAAGTAGAATCTAAGTGTACTCTGGCCCCAATATCAAAGAGAAAAAAGGCGCTGCCCTATAAAAAGAGGCTGAAAATTAGAGTTTTTCTATGGGGGAAAAAAAAAACCAGCCTACAATAGACAGTATGTTCAAGAGGAATACAGACATGTTTACTAAGTTCATTTATTTTAATCAACATTCACTGAGTACCTAATAGGCAGTGAAAAAGACAGAAAGGTCCCATATTCACAGAGCTTAATTTCTAGTGTAGGAGACAGAACTTTTTTTAAAAAGTTATTCCATATATTGATAAATGCTGTGAAGAAAATAAAATACAATGGAGAGATTGGTCAGCCTCCTTGAAGAGGCAACGTCTGAACTAACACCTGAATGACACAATGGAATCAACCACAGCAAGATCTAGGAGAAGAGTACAGAAGCCCCAGGGTAAAGCAAGTGCAAAGGCCCTACAGCAAGAACCAGCTTGGCAAGTTCCAGGGACAACAACGTAAGTGCGGTTGGAATACAGAAAGAAACTCACATGGCCAGGCTCTAGGGTACCGAACTAAGTAGAAGGATACAAGGTAAGATAAGAGAGGAAGGCAGTGGCAAACCTGTAGTGCCTGGCAAGCTTTGGAAGAGTTTGGATTTTATTCTGAATATGGATGGGAGACTTTCAACAAGGGAGTGTCAAGGTAATTTACATTGTAAAGGATTTCTTAAGCTGGTAAGGGAAATGCACAATAAAAGTCAAAGAGGAAGCAGGGAGACCAGGAGTTACTGTAATAGATTAGAGATGAAGATAGCCTGGCAAAGGGATGGTAGTAGGGATGGGAAGAAGTGGACAAATCTAGAACACATACTGAACACTATAATTGAAGCCAAATTGAAGGAAAAGAAACTAAGCTGTATAATTAGTAAACATCTAGGACTAATCATATAAGAGACGTAAAATGAAAACAGATTTAAAGGTTTTAGGTAAGTTTATGAGATTCAAACTCAAAATAGGTTATTAGCAGACTTAAGATAGTTCATGGCATGTACTTATCCTTTGAAGTTGAGAGGAAGCAGACATTTCCTTCCATAGCAGGCTCTTTCGGTGCCAACTGGTAAAGCACTGGACCAAATGGGCACACACCAAGACTCAATGCATATTAAGTGTGATGTGGGCTGCGCAAAGTGGCTCACACCTATAATCCCAGCACTGTGGGAGGCCGAGGTGGGCAGACCACTTGAGGTCAGGCGTTTGACATCAGCCTGGCCAACATGGTGAAACCCCATCTCTACTAAAAATACAAAAATTAATTGGGCGTGATGGTTTGTGCCTGTAATCCCAGCTACTCAGGAGGCTGAGGTTGGAGAATCGTTTGAACCTGGGAGGCGGAGGCTGCAGTGAGCTGAGATCCACCACAGCACTCCAGCCTACACAATAGAGCAAGACGCCCATCTCCAAAAAAAAAAAAGGCGTGATATGTAAAGTTAAAATCTTCTGGGACCTTACTGCCGGGCGCCTGAACAGCAGATCAGCATTTGGAACAGAGTATAACTATGGCATAGAACTAAATCTTACCTGAATCAAACCACTGAGTTAGCAAAAACAACTTAAACTTTGAAATCATCAATTCCGGCTGTGCTTTCTTTCCCAAGAGCCAAACAAGTGAGGCCTTACTTTGCCATGCAATGCATATTAATTGCTTTTTTCCTTGTTCTTCTTTTTTTGAGACAGAGTTTTGTTCTTGTTGCCCATGCTGGAGTGCAATGGCATGATCTCGGCTCACTGCAATATCTGCCTCCCAGGTTCAAATGATTCTCCTGCCTCAGCCTCCCAAGTAGCTGGGATTACAGATATATACCAGCATGCCCAGCTAATTTTGTATTTTTAGTAGAGACAGCGTTTCTCCACATTGGTCAGGCTGGTCTCGAAAACTCCCAACCTCACGTGCATGATCCACCTGCCTCGGCCTCCCAAAGTGCTGGGATTACAGGCAATAGCCACCACGAATGGTCTAATTTCTTAAAGTTTACATTATCATAGAGATTTGTGAGGAAACCTTTTAAAACCATCCTTTTAATCATTATGGTTTGGCAAACATAGAGTGGTGCCCCATTATCCACAAAGTATACATTCAAAGAAACCCCAGTGGGCTGGGCCTGGTGGCTCGTCATGCCTGTAATTCTAGCATTTTGGGAGGCCAAGGCCAGAAGATCACTTGAGCTCAAAGTATGAGACAAGCCTGGGCAACACAGTGAGATCTCATCTCTATTAAATTAAAAAATTATAAAACAAATACCTCTCCAGTGGATGCCTGAAGCTCATATAGTACAGAACCCTATATATAGAGACTATGCTTTTTTCCTATACATACCTATAAAATTTATAAATTAGGCACAGTAAGAGATTGATAACAGTTAACAATACAACATTTATAACAATATACTATCATAAAATTTATGTAAATGTGGTCTCTCAAAATACTCTATTTTCAAACGGCGGTTGACCATAGAAACGGAAACCCCTGAAAGTGAAACCACGGATAAGGGGGCACTACTGTAAAGTGAATACTCCCTGAAATTTAAGGTCTAAAGTCCCTATCTGCAAAACTTCAAATTATTACTCAAAAAACAGAATGTGAAAAAAAGCAACTTACGTACTGAAAAGCATACGTGGTATGATACCATATTTGTATAAAATATACAAATTCAAAAAAGTAGTTTAGAAGGGTATAAACTAACATTTTGGTGAACTTTGGGTGGCACGATTATTGATTTTTCTTTATCCTATCTGCTTTTATCAACGTTTTCTCTATTACAAAGTATTTCGTATAGCCAAAAATATTATAGGCTAGCATAAAAAGCAAAAAGCTGAAAAAAAAGAGAACTTCAAAAACTTTTTCCTTCTAAATCAGAATTCCAACTGCGATAGTAAGAATAAGGATCTCACTGGCAAACACTGGAGAAAAGATTCATTAAGAGGTCCATGCTATGCCACAAGGACATACCCTTCAAGGAAATAATCTAAATTCCTAACTCTTCCTGGATTTGCTGTTGACCACAGAAACACCTCAATTAATGAGTTCTGGGAGCGGGGGTGATCTTTTTAAAAACCATGTTAAAAAAGGACAAAAGGGTTTAGTTTTCTGGTCGGTCGCAGTGCTGTCGAGGGCCGCGGAGAGCGGCAAGTTCGGAGGCAGGCTACTCTAAAGGAATCTGCGCGGCCAGTCACCCTGGGTGGAAGGGAATGCAAGCTTCCTACAACCTCCACAGCGCTAGGCAGCGAGGATGCCTCCTAAGAGTCTCAAGACTCCAACACATGGGAGGTCTTACGCTTCCCAAGTTACAGTATGTACAGTTGCCAACTGTTTCTGACAATAACATACAAAAACTGGAAGATCTCTTCTGCAAATGTAGCTATTACTTGCATAGAGCTCATCCGACTCTCTCGATGCAAAACTAAGACATTCTGTTAAGGCCACAGCCTCGGTTTTGCCAACTGGGGCAACTGAAAACATCCTACTGACTCTACAGCCAACAAACCATCTCGGCTAAAATCCCAGCACATATAAACAGCCACTTTGGGGAAGTCTGCCTTTAAACAGCAACATGGATACAGCCGGTAACCAGTTTATCATACACTATTAGTTCCAATAAAGGGTGCTGCTACCTCTGTTCTGTCAGCCTTGGTTACACTTACTGAACAAACAGAAAAAGGGGATCCTTTAAATTCGCGACACAATAGGGGCTTAAAAGCTCTCGCTTTCCGGGTGGCAGCGTTTTCATCTCATTTATCACAACAAAGGACGCATCCCAGTGACTTCACCGTACCCAGAAAGGGCTAGGAAGCCGGGAAAACAAGATATTGTGGATTTCGGGATTTGTGAGTTTTTCCTTCTAGCTCCGACTCTTTTACTCCATGATACGCCTCCACCCGTGTCGACTATCTGATACTAAAAATAAAACCACCCGGGGCTACCGTGCCCTTTCCTGCCAAGCCCCGACTCAGACTTCCTCCAGAGAAAGCTCAATTGCAGGCTTTTCGCGGGGGCGGGGGGGGGGGGTGGTTGCGGGCTGGGCAGCAGCAAGGCTTCTCCAGGTGCAGAATCGCCAGCCCGGCCCAGGAACGGCCAAGCCGGAGAAACAGCCCGGTTCCGCCGCAACCGCCGCAGTCCCCGAGAGCCTGAGGAGCCCCTAGTTAAAACTGGGGCGAGGGGAGGGTGGGCCAGCAAACGCTGGTGGGAGAGGGGGAGACACTCACCCGCCCAGACAACAATCGATGGGGCGGGGAGGATGGGGGCCGGGACCGAGGCTCGGCAGAAAGACCGCCTGGAGCTTCCGGAAGGCTGCGGCGGCTCCGGACTTCGCTGCCGCTGCCGCTCCTGGCCGCCAGCTTCCTCCCCCTCCTCTGTTTTGATTCGAGTGACCACGTCACTCTTAGCCACGAGACCCGGATCTGCCGGCTCCCAAGGGCGGCAGCGCAACAGATTGCCACGCCTGGAGACTCCAGCGGCCCCGCCTGCCGAGCATGCGCACGACTAGCACCTGTCCTGTGCGTCCCGGGAGGCCTGGCAGGCACCAGCGACTTCGGGCGCCTACGCCACGCTTTGCGTGGGGGCGCGGAGCGCGGGGGATGTAGTTCCGGTTGGGAGGGGCGTGGCTGAGAGCTGAGAAGGAAACGGGGAGAGGCCGGGTGTTGGTGGAAATGTTCCGTAGCCTCTGTTTCGTTGGCGGCGGAGAGTGTTCTCTAATGTGTCTCCCTTTGCCTGAGCTTAAGAATCTTTAGAATACCTTGGTAGAGGTAGACGTGGTTAGAAATTGATGTCTGTTGAGACAGGATACCCCTGTAGAGTGTTTTTGGTCACTCAGGCCCGGATGGAAATTGGAGATGAGGATTACAAAAATATGTCAAATGTGGCAGTTATTGATTCCCTTTACCCTAACGTTTTTGCACCGGAAGGTTGACCAAAATTAAGTTCAACAGGAACATTAAAGTGATTATGTGGCCAGGCTTGGTGGCTCACGCCTGTAATCCCAGCACTTTGGGAGGCCGAGGTGGGCCTATCACTTGAGGTCAGGAGTGCGAGACCATCTTGGCCAACGGGGTGAAACCTCCTCTCTTCTAAAAACGCAAAAATTAGCCGGGCGTAGTGGTGCCTGCCTGTAGTCCCAGATGCTCTGCAGGCTGAGGCGAAGGTTGCAGTGAGCTGAGATCGCGCCACTGCACTCCAGCCTGGGTGATAGTGAGACCTTGCCTCAAACTAAATAAAGTGAATGTTACCAAAGATGACTTGTTGGTTAGGAGATAGTGGGGAAGTAGGAGGGAATGCTGTGGCTAGGCACCCAGCCGGCCCAAGTCTTTGTTGCTTTGGTTGTAGAACTGGAATAAGGGTGCTGTGTGTGGCCGAACAATCTTCTTTTTAGACCAAATTGGTGCTGCCTTCTCTCCCATTCTAGCCTCTGAGTCTCCCTGCTAAACTTTTGGGGCCCCGGAAATTTCCCAATTTGGCAAAATGTAAAACTGTATTGTTTTCTTAGAGCCTTGAATTAGCAAGCGTTAATTAAAATGGGATAAGTGGCGAAGTAAAAGTGAGTCTCAACGATTTCACAAAAGTGCCTCTTTGCCAGTCTTGACGGAGAGGTGAAAGCTGCAAGCTTTCTTACTCTGATTTGATGACCTTTTCACCTGCGCAGACTTCCACCTCAGCTATTTGTTTAATTACCCCTCAAGAAGTTGAATCCACTTTCCCCAAATTAGTATAATTTACAAAAGCTTTTTTTTTTTTTTTTTTTTTGAGACGGAGTTTCGCTGTTGTTACTCAGACTGGAGTGCAATGGCACGATCTTGGCTCACTGCAGCCCCGCCTTCTGGGTTCAAGCAATTCTCCTGCCTCACCCTCCCGAGTAGCTGGGATTACAGGCACGCGCCACCATGCCCAGCTAATTTTTGTATTTTTAGTAGAGACAGGGTTTCACCTCGTTGACCAGGATGGTCTCGATCTCTTGACCTCGTGATCCACCCGCCTTGGCCTCCCAAAGTGCTAGGATTATAGGCGTGAGCCACCGCACCCGGCAAGGGTCTTGCTCTGTTGCCCAGGCTGGAATGTAGGAATGTAGTGGTACCATTTACAGCTTTGAACTCCTGGGTCAAAGTGATCCTCCCGTCTCAGCCTCCCGAGTAGCTAGAACTACAGACTCATGCCACCACACTGAACTAATTTTTTTGTTGTTGCTGTTATAGAGATGGGGTCTTGCTATATTGTTAAGGCTGGTCTTGAACTCCTGGTCTCAAGTGATTCTCCTGTTTCAGCCTCTCAAAGTGTTGGGATTACAGGCATGGGTCACTGTGCCCACCCACTACTTGCTTTATAAAGTAACCAAGGTGTTAGGATTAGCCTGGCAAGGTTGTGTATGCCTGTAGTCCCAGCTGTTCAGGAGGCAGAGGCAGGAGACTTGCTTGAACCCAAGAGTTGGAGGCTTTGAATAGCCACTGCACTCCAGCCTGGGCAACATAGCAAGACCTTGTCTCACAGGAAAAAAAAAAAGATGTTGGGATCCTTGGTAGTCAGACTCTAAGATGACCCCCAAAGATTCTCACCTCTGGTGGCCTACACCAGCCCTTTGAATCAGGGCTACTGTGTTTTACCAAAAGAATACAGCCAAATGTGTGTGACTTCTGAGGCTAGATCACAAAGGCACTGATTGCAGCTTTCCTTCTGATTCTCTTTGATTGCTTGCTTTGGGGGAAACCAGTCTCAACACTACTCCACTTAAACAGCCCTATGAAGAGGCCTACATGGGGAAGAGAAAAAGCCTCCGCCAACTTGCCAGCCATGTAAGTGAACTAACTTGATTGATCCTGCAACCCTAATCAAGCGTTCAGATGACTGTATCCCTGCCCAGTATCTGACTGCAAGTTCCTAAGAGCTAGAAGAGGCTAGCTCTTAGCCACAGACACTGATATGGGGTATTATTATATGCTTTTTTGTCCTGATCTTTTTTTTTTTTAATTGTACTTCAGTTCTGGGGTACATGTGCAGAACATGCAAGGTTGTTCTGTGTATAGATATACATGTGCCATGGTGATTGGCTGCATCCATCACCCCGTTGTCTACATAGGTATTTCTCCTAATGCTATCCCTCCTCTATCCCGCCACCCCAATAGTCCCCGGTGTGTGATGTTCCCCTCCCTGTGTCCATGTGTTCTCATTGTTCAAATCCCACTTATGAGTGAGAACATGGGGTGTTTGGTTTTCTGTTCCTGTGTTAGTTTGCTGAGAATGATGGTTTCCAGCTTCACCCATAAAAAAGGGTGACATGAACTCACCCTTTTTTATGGGTGCATGGTATTCCATGGTATATGTATACTACATTTTCATTATCCAGTCTATCATTGATGGGCATTTGGGTTGGTTCCAAGTCTTTGCTATTGTGAACAGTGCTGTAATAAACTTACTTGTGTCTTTATAACAGAATGATTTATAATTCTTTGGGTGTGTACCCAATAATGGGATTGCTGAGTCAAATGGTGTTTCTAGTTCTAGATCCTAGAGGAATTATCACACTGTCTTCCACAATGGTTGAACTAATGTACACTCCCACCAACAGTGTAAAAGCATTCCTCTTTCTCCACATCCTCTCCAGCATCTGTTGTCTCCTGACTTTTTAATGATTGCCATTCTAACTGGCATGATATGGTACCTCAATGTGGTTTTAATTTGCATTTTTCTAATGACCAGTGATGATGAGCTTTTTTTCATGTTTGTTGGCTGCATAAATGTCTCCTTTTGAGAAGGGCCTGTGTGACATGGTAATTGCCCCATAAACTGCATACCTCGACCATACCTCAACCATACCTCGGCTTTCCATTGAAACTTTCTCTGTAACCCTAATGTGACAGGCAAGCAGTCCAAACCAACATCATTTTGGCCCCTGCGCCATTAAGAAAAACTAAGACTTGTAATAAGTAACTAAGATCTGTAATTTTCCACCCTACCCAATGTGTAAACTAACACTTATCTTGACTTCTGTGAACCACTTAAGTAATAGTCGGAATGTCTGAAGTCCCCTGGCCCTCGGAATGTCCAAAGCCCCTCGCCCTCGCCTCCACCCAGGAGGTGGTTCACGGGCATAAATGGTCTTGACACCTTCCTTTCAGGGCCACAGTTAGAGAGACTCGAGTATTCTGTGGCCGCCAGCAATAAAGACCCTGTAATTTGGCCTAGTCTTTGTCTCAGTGGTGATTTCACGCTTGCTTGGTTACAACACCTGTTCATATCCTTCGCCCACTTTTTGGTGGAGTTGTTTTTTTTTTCTTGTGAATTCGTTTAGGTTCATTGTAGGTTCTGGATATTAGCCCTTTGTCAGATGGGCAGACTGCAAAAATTTTCTCCCATTCTGTAGGTTGCCTGTTCGCTCTGATGATAGTTTCTTTTGCTGTGCAGTTCTTCAGTTTAATTAGATCCCATTTGTCTATTTTGGCTTTTGTTGCTATTGCTTTAGGTGTTTTAGTCATGAATTCTCTGCCCATGCCTATGTCCTGAATGGTATTGCCTAGGTTTTCTTCTAGGGTTTTTATGGTTTTAGTTCTTATGTTTAAATCTTTTTTAAAAAAAATGTAACGCTTCGTGAATTTGCATGTCATCCTTGTGCAGGGGCCATGCTAATCTTCTCTGTATCTTTCCAATTTTAGTATATGTGCCAAAGCAAGCACTTGTCCTGATCTTTAAGTGCAGTTTTTCTTTCTTTATTCTTTCTTTCTTTTTGTTTTGAGACTGAGTCTTGCTCTGTTGCCCAGGCTGGGAGTACAGTAGTGCAATCTCCACTCACTGCAACCTCCGCCTCCCAGGTTCAAGTGATTTCCTACTTCAGCCTCCCTAGTAGCTGGGATATTACAGGCGCACACCACCATGCCTGGCTAATTTTTGTGTTTTTAGTAGACATGGGGTTTCACCATGTTGGCCAGGCTGGTCTCGAACTCTTGACCTCAGGTGATCCACCTGCCTTAGCCTCCCTAAGTGCTGGTATTACAGGCATGAGCCACTGTGTCCACCCCTAAGTGTACTTTTTCTAAACTTTAAACAATGGAAGAACTAAAAATTGTGTAATTCTATATGTAAAGAACAACAGAGTTCCTACCATAGAACTGAGAACATAGTAAACATTGAATAAATATTTGTTGAATGGACACAGAATTAAAAGAGAAACACCAATTGGAAAATTTGGAACAAATACTGATAGATAAAGGAAAAATACCATAATATATGAAGGGCTCATATAAATCAATAGGGAAGATTAACGCCTGCCATACATGCATAGGTATAAAGTATGAACTGATGGTTCATGTCAGGTCTCATGTGCAAGCCTGGAGCCCGAAAATCTGAAGTCCTTTCTGCCCCGGCTGATGTCTCCTACCCCCTACCTGCGTTCACCATTGTCCCTGATCACCCAGCAGAGCTTCCTTGGATGAGCCCCTCACCCAACCCTGCCATCTTAACTGTTCTTATGGTAATGTAAATACCTCTCACCCAACCCTGCCATTGTAACTGAACTTGTGATCTTACTCTGTAGCGCCCCCGCCCCCCAAAAAACTACCGGAACCTATAAA